TGAACACACACGCACGCACACACATCTCCCTTCCTATACATACGTCTCTCTAGTCTTCGACGACTGCCGTGGCTGTTCGCTCGACTGCGCTCGGCAACGCCGCAATTCACGCTCGCATTCGCGTACGCGCGCGCTAGTGTTGCGTAACGCTGCGGAGTCATACGATAGGATAGATTCGTCGTTTCACGACGCGAATAGTAGAGAGAATACCCGGCGGATAGACGAGGATAAAGCCAACGGTTGGCGAGCCGGAACGGGAGAGCGGTCAAGGGGGATGACGGTTCAGCCTTGAAATGCTTCGTCACAAGCGCCATATACGAACGTTGGACTTAACAGAAATTGCGCAGACTCACATTTTTTCTCACCAAACGTGTTCTTATGTTTAGCTCTGGAGTAAATTTTTCAAAAACAGGCGCAAAACAAAAGGCCAAAACGGGAATGCAAAAGAGTTAATACGTAATACGTATATGCCAAAAGTTTTAAATACACACACGTAAACGAAATATTGAAAAAATTTTTTCTATATTCTATATAAGTTCTTTTATCTACACACATGTGTGTATTTGCAAAGCGTATTCTGTGTAATAAATGTACATCGTTACGATTCTCGCGGCAATTTCGAGAGAGAGCGGTGTGAATCCACGCGAAGATCCACGTGCTGTGCTCTCTAACCGAGGTCACCCCAAACGGGTCCAGACGATTTATATACGTAGAAGGAAGCGGAAGTGGTCGAGCAAATTGTTGTGCAAGAAAACACAACAGGAAGTGCGACACACTATCGGTAGACGGATCGAGAGAACGGGAATTAGAGAGGGGAATTGATGTAAGAAAGTAAAGACGCGCGCGGAAAGAAAAAAAAAGCGGTTCAGCAGGAGGATAGGTTGCTTCGAACTCTTGAAAGCGTCGATCGATGCCGTCGTCATGGCGACCTGGCCGGCACCGCCGTGCTCCACTACTGATTATTTATGTCAAAGATTCCCCCCCGCAACTCTCCAAGGTATGAAACGCAAACGCGGGCGAACCACCCTGAGAAGAGGGGCAATCGCTCGATCTGGCAGCCTACTAGCCTATCCACGTGACACTGAAGACTGAGGAGTTCAGGGGAATGGATGGTTACCACAGGTATGGTAGTGGAATACATACATAGATATATAGGAGCGAAGGGGGTTACACATAAAGAGTGAATCCAGTGGCGTAAGTTAAAACAAAAGAAGAGAATATAAGGATTCCTCTTCTCTTTCTTTGTTTTTTAATTATATTTTTTGTGACCACGATGAGAATCAGATATAATTCCATTTGTATATGTTATATCTTATTTAGTGCGTTTGTAATTTTATGAAACAATGCGTTGTGTAAAACTTGTTACAACTTGGCGTTGAGAAATGTTCTCGAAAAAAACGCCACTGCGGGAAGGAAAAAAAAAAGAAAACTAGAGAAGAAAACAGTAAAGGGAAAGTACTGAAATGCTCGAATCAAAAGGAGAGAGGATAAATAGGCCGCGCGAGTATATAGATAGACACGTTTGAAATCTATTCAGAATCTGGGACAAGTTCCTCTCTTCTCTTTTCTTTTTCTTTCTCTCTCTCTCTCTCTTTCTGACATTCATAAATAATCATTCACTGTTTATACGTCAATTATATAAAATATGTTCTCTTGCCGGAAAGAAATGAGAGAGAGAGAGAGAGAGAGAGAGAGAAAGCGAAACTCTTTCTCTCTCTCCCTCCATACAGACGCATTGTGAATATCACGACTAGGACGGTATCAAGTCGGGAATGCGATCTCTGTCGTTTCAAGAATTAACTGTATGTTAAAAAAAAAAGCTAACAAAATGATGACACAAATTTAACAATGAATCAGTGAGAGCGAGAGGATAACACAAAATGGCGCGCGCGCGCGCGCGCGCGGAAAGAGAGGGAAGGAGCGACTATTCCCTTGTGGGAAGGGTGCTTCCGACCTAGTTTCACCCTCGCAAGGTGCTGGCAATCGATACCGCGCCTAAGGGCCGACAAAACGCGATCGCAGAGCCACTGCTGCTGCGCTAAAAGCAAGAATTAGAACTCGCGTGGCCGCGTTGTGTTACGAAGAAGCGACCTGAAAAGAGACCGCAATTAGCCGTGATATTTTGGAAATTTCATTGTTGGCGTTTCAAGTCGCTCTGGCGTTTTTCACGGACAATTCTATTTTTTTTTTTTTACAATAAAAATCTCGTTGTACAAAATATGTATCTGTTTTTTTTGCGGTAACCGTCGTCTTTTTTTATGTTGCGTTATAAAGCGTACGCTCGCAACCTCCCAAACAAGACGATTCTCGATAAGTTCCGTGCGATAAGCGAGCATCATGTGAAATCTAATGCCCGCAAGTTACAACTCTTTTTTATCTGCCACACGTAACCGACGTACAAACAAATAGCAACTCTATCGGCTGTGCCTGATAGTCGCTACGGTAGGCGGATCTGTGATTAAACGATGAAGGAATGTTATCTATAAAAAAAAAACTTAACGGCTAATACGCGCGGCATCTATCCGAGACTGACGGTATTAGAAAAAAAAAACTCTTTAACGATTCCCGATGTGATATTTACACACCTCCTGTTATATCTTTGTTACTTATCTTATTGTTTCTGTAATTTTATTATATCTCTCACGTCTTATCATTATCTCTTTTACATAATTGTACGTAGAAAACGCAAAAAAAAAAATCAAGATTCAAACTCTCGGTGACTGAGCACCAGTGATTTAGGTTGTGTTCCGATATTTACTTGCCAGTACTGGAAATCTATAGCACATGTGACGTGAAGTATAAATTTTTATTACTTACCGACTGAATAAAAATCGAAACGCGCAGCGTTTAATATAAATGCTCGACAGATATTTATTCATGAGAATGATATGGAGTCTCTAAATTCAGCAAGTGTCTCTCAGAATACACACACGAAGGTCGGCGGAATATGTAAAAGAACGCCGACATTGGCTTATTTATGGCTCATTCATCGCTAAAGCCGGGAACACACGCGCGAAAAGTCTTGAGCGGTAAAATTTTGAGCAAATTAACCAATCACAGACCAGCATTCTTTCAAATGTAACTGCGTTGAAAAAGAATGCCGGCTTGTGATTGGTTGATTTTTTAATGCTTAAGTTTTTTCGCGTGTTCTCTCTCTCTGGCTTTGCGGTGAGTGTGGAATAATAAAGTTGCGTAGGTTCGCCATCAGACTGCAGCACATCTGTAGAAAAAGAATAGCCGTTTATATTGCAGAAAGAAATATGTATAGGTTTCAAGCGTTGCCACATGAATGAGAAATTATTAATATATAAAGAAGTTCCAACGTAACCGTCGTCACGGAAGTATCGTTTCTCGGTCTTCTTCAATCGACAACATAATTTTTAGATTTTATGCAAAGCAGAGCGTATGTTTTGCTACAGTGGACTTTGTATCTGCGTTCTGACATAGACTGGCGCTTTTGCCATAATATTCTTTATATATTCTTTTGACTTAGACTGGCGTATGGACTAGTTAGTTTCGGTCCAAAGAGCCATACTTGCACCACCATTAATATATAAAGGATTTTCTTAAGCCTCTTGCACAATGGACGGAATAGCGACAGCGATAGAAATAACATAATAAAGTTTTAAAGAGTTTATATTTAAAAATAAAGGTAGGAACAGCGGAATCTAACATACAAAACTACACATGTATCAATGCGGATCAGAAAATCGGAATAAGCAATAAGCGATAAAATTTCCGACGAGTTCTGGAATTCTGGGTACCGACTGTGTATTTATGCGAAGTAGTGAAAATTACAAAAGTGAGAAAGTTTACTAGTTGTCGACTAATAAAATCACAGATATATTTTAGTAAATTTTCTCACTTTTGTAATTTTCACTACTTCGCATAAATACACACACACACAATCGGTACCCTTTGTTAAAAACTGTGTTATTTCTATCGTTAACGCTATTCCGTCTATTGTGCAAGAGGCTTTAGATTATTTTGTTACCACACACACAAAATATATTCTCATCGCCGTAATATTTGTATTGTATAACCCATGTTTATTAAATTAAATATGTATATACACATTGATGAGATTAGAATCTGGAGCATATTGAAAATATATAATACAATCACTTGAGCGATTATTACACACTAAGCACTCAAATCCTTTTAATACTCACTATAAACCATTAAGGTATCTATAAATCTGTAAATTACCATTAAAATCATCGCGTTATTGATATTAGATGCTGACCTACGATATCTTAATCCAAAAAGTCTTTCGTATGTACACCAGTCGGCATTATAATTCCTTTATCGAGATCGAGATACCAAATTTTCTTGTCCAAAGTATTCGTATTTTGGAATTTGCTAATTTTTCAATCATAATGCATAAATACTCAAAAACGAAGCGACAAAAAAGTTGAGTAACTCGATCTCGAAAGATGAAAATTGATATAAGTATGCCAGTTAGTGTACATTTATACATAATTTTCAGTATATTTTAACCTTGTATATAATATTGTCACATATATATATATATATATATATTATATATATACATGTACGTATAATATTATATATCGTATAGTATAAGATTAAAATATTAAAACTAGTGAATTTTTTTTCACGTTGATGCTCAATGTCGACAATACATAATAAGAGACATTTCGTTCACTGTCTTTATTCTCTCTCTACACGTACATCAGTGCGTTATATATATATAGTCCAAATATTTTTTTTTACTACCTCACGCATTTTTTTGTCAATACCACAAAATCGCACAATCCGCTATTATACTAATGCAAATATATATATATATATAACTAATAATTACTTTTATAAAATATTTACATACTTAAGATCATTATTCGCTCAATATGATACAAATTACATTTATATATGATATCCGTGGCCGCTAATATGTCGCTATCGAGATGCTCGTAAGGATCTCAAGCATCGAATTATTCTCGATTTTCATGAGATTCTTAGATTCTACACTTTTTGGATCCTTTTTTTTTTTTTTTTTTTTTTTTTTTTTTTTTTGGCATTCTCTCTAAACTCTTGCAGCAACAAATTTACTTTTTGAATTCTTTATATTTTTTTTTTTTTACGATTTAAATAGAAGTTTTCGACTTTTTTTTGTCTTATACTTTCTCAATCAAAGATTGTGATTTTGAAAGATGAGATATTTTTTAAATATCTTATATACAATAAGTAATCACGATAAAATAATCGGATCTTCTCTCTTGATCGTACTTTTTGGTTTTATTGAAATTTTTAAATGGCGTAACTCTCTCTTTACAGAGAGTTTTACAACAGGTATCTTTAAAAAGTCTTTCATTTCTTTGAAGTCTTGCTTTTTTATGCAAGATATCCGAACTTTTGAATTTCACCGTCAATTTTTTTTTTTTTTTTTTAATTTGCTCTTTATTCTCTTGTAATAAAAAATAAACAATAAAAGTATAACACTAAATTAGCTCTAATATGCGTTGAGAGCAGTTTGCATTTTTTAACACAGTGTGCGCCAAATTTTTTTGCGTCAAATAATCACCTAAAGCAAAATCCCAACAGGGTTACACTTGATCGATCGATACGACAGGTGCGCATAGTGAAAATGGATTCAGTGGATTTTCGATCGCATTTTACAATATAAACATTTTAAAATTCTATCAAATAGAAATTTGCGCGTATAATACACTTCTTAATTTTTTTTAATATAAACTTTTAGAAGGTTTAGACATCATTTCATCATTTCTGGGATTTTTCGGAGCTTAAAGCCTAAATTGTAGATTGTACATTTTTTTTTTTTTCATCAATTTTCATACATTCGATAAATCCACTGTCGTAAGTAAAGAAATTTATAAATAATGAAAGTAAAGGAAAGAGAAAGAGAGAAAGAGATGAGAGCATATCGCGAACTTTTTGCGGAAATATATGTATATCTTAACGTCTACCGTGCTATTCTAATATAAGCTCTGTGAAGTTTATTGTACAAAAACAGTAATCGGCAAAGATACGGAATTTATACGAGACTTTACTGTGGAAATAGAATTACATTAACTTGTGGATCGTAAATGCTAAAATTTCTGGGAAAGAGAAATCTTTAATCGCGGACTTTGAAGCTGTGTGAGTAAATGAAGGTGAAATTGTCCTGACGTGACTTTTTTTCTTTAAGACATGATGGATTTTTGACTATCATTCTTATCAACAGCCGCTACGTGATCAGGATTTTCTCCGTGCGAATAACGCTCCCACATCTTCGTGTACAACATCTCCATGCCTATCGCGTACATCTTGCAGTTGAACAGCGGACTCTCTGATCGAGCTTTCCAGACTTTAGCTCTTGTTGCTTTCAAACTAGTAAGTGAAAAAAGTAAAAAATTAGATTTTTTTCTTCATGACTCACAAAATTGTTTTGTAACCAATGTAAAATATTTAAAGCGTCATAATACTTACTATTCTCTATCAGTGCCCAATCTAATAGCGATATCTTGATACTCTTGTCGTGTTCGTGCTACTAATTCAGGACAACCAAGAGTGTTCAATTGACTAGCAGCAACGCGAGAGGCTAGAGTTTCGCCCGGTAGAGTAACTACCGGCGTTCCGGTCCATAAAACGTCCATACTGGTTGTGTGTCCATTACAGAGCGGAGTGTCTAGACATACGTCAGCCAACTGGCCTCGTCTTACATGTTCCTCTTTCGCGGCGACGTTGCTGAACAAGATCCTGCCAGGTGTCAGACCCAATTGCTGCGCTGTTGCTTGTAAATTGGGTTCACCGACTGCCGGAAAACGTAGCAACCACAGTACAGAGTTCGGCACGTGTTTTAAAATCTGAAATCGAAATGAAGTCTCATCGAAACGATCCGGAAAAAAGATCTCTCACTGAAAAAATCTTATTCAATCGCGATTACTCACATGTGCCCACATGTGAAGAGTTAGTGGATCGATCTTGTACAATTGATTGAAGTTGCAATAAACAACGGCGTCTTCTGGCAAACCGTATTGCTGTCTTGTTGTGATCACAATATTCTGAGGCACTTCCTCGCCCGTAGCAGTTTTGTTATTCACCTGTGTGGTGGCCATGCCGTTTTGCACAACAACGCCGTTCACAGACATCTGACACTGACCAGAAGCAATCATTGTCTCGATCGGAGTGGTGGTCGGTAATTCGGCGATCTTGAGTGAAATCTCAACCGGTTGTTTTTTGGCGTCTGGTACAACAACTTCGCGAATCTCTTTTATCAAAGCGTTTTCGATCATTGGCGAGAGATCCGTGGCGTTAATCACCGCCACGTTATCCGCCACTTTACCCTTGTGATTTAATTTGTCGGTTAGGATTAAACGCTCTTTCAAGTGAGGGAACATTTGTCTGAAAAACGCACAAACAAACAAAAAAAAACAAATTACAGCGATGTTACGTCATTAGAACGCAGTTGCGAGCAAACTTTTTTTATTTCAACATTCTTTTAACTTTTTGTCAAGAAAAGTTATAATACGTACTTATGATCTCCGATAAAATAAGTATGTGGCATGTAAGCGAGTTTCTCGCTATATTGGCTGGCAAGTTCTAGCGGTGACGTGACCTCGTCTGTGATAAGATAATCCATAAAACTTGCGCCAGAAGTGCCAGGATAACCTAGCCACATGACCTGTATCGGCGCCGGTCGCAAAGCGAAGATTTCATTCCTAGCACCCTTCGTATAACCGTTCATGTTGACCAAAATGTGAATGCCATCCGCGTTGATGCGATCGGCGGCCTTGCCGTTGCAAGGAATTTGCGACAAATCAACAAAATGCTCAGCTTCTCGTGCGATTTTCGCACGGAAGGTTGTGCCGTCGTCCGCACTAAGCGCGTAACAGAAAATCTCGACTTTGTCACGATCGTGCAATCCGGGAATTGATTGCATCAAGTGACTGGTTGGATGATTGCCGAAGTCCGACGAAACATATCCAATCTTTAAACGCGTGCCGATCAGACGTGGATATTTATATGGCTGTTTATGAAGAACATGGATCTGCAAATTTACGTAGTTTTTTTTTCTTTTTTTTTTTTTTTTTAAACAATAGTATGTAACAACAGTTTTGATTTATTCATATGTAACAAATAATTAATACTAGAAAAAAAAAATAAAATAAAATACTAATTGTTCAATGCAGCGCATATATAACTTTTGTGATAAATAATGAAATTTGATATAAACGGCTCCAAAAATTCTTATTAAACAGATATATGTTTGGCTGTATGGAGCGGACACGGATGTCGATGTGTGTGTTCAAAATATTTAGTTTGTTGCGATAAACTGTACAGTACAAAGCTTTCGATCTTTGGTTTAGGTTTTTCTCAGTGTAATACTACAAAAAATGTTAACAATAATAAATAGTACGCAATAAAAGAAAATTGTAATAAAAACTTAGGAAGTGAAATGGCCAATGAGAGCCTGGACACAGTTAACAGAGTGTATATTTATTATAAAATCCTTATGTTCAAAAAACATTGACGTTTCGATCCCAGATTGGGATCATCTTCGGAAAGTAAATCATGTGTAAGATCAAACGCAAAATAAATAAAAACAAAGAAGAAAAATTATAAATATAAAAATCAAATTACTCACAATTAAAACAAGAAAGACGTTAAATTCACAAAAGTGTGCGTCAACGCGACAATGATGACAAGAGCAAGAGAAAAGGAACATGTTGTTCCACTCACAGTTGTAACGCAAATGGGCAGTAGGTCGAAAATATAAAAACAAAGAAAAGATAGAGAGAAACCAGAGACATCTAACGAAATTGAAAGGAGCAACTAACTTTTTTATAGTTAGGTTAATTATTAAAATTGTAATAGTAAGACCTAACAAAAACTTACAAAAGACTCGCAAAAAAGAAGAAGAAATAGTGACGGTCGTCGTTAGGTGGTGATTAGTAGTCAGTGGTAAGACTAAGAGATTCGACCATCACTTTTGTACTGTACAGTTTATCGCAATAAACTAAATTTTGAGAACACACACACACATCGACATCCGTGTCTGCTCCATACAGCCAAACATATATCTGTTTTATGATAAATTTATAAGAAGATTGATTCGACTCACCTTCTCGATGCAAAGATTAGCGTGCCTGGCAGCAATAGCCTTTCTGAACTCGTGAGACAACGGATAAAGCATGGAATGATGGGGATGCACGCTAGGTAATCTGTTTTTGTCTAACTGCTCGGCTACAATTGACACCAACTTTTTCATTCTGGCTTCATAATCAGTCCAATCGCATACTATTTGCAGACAGTGTGCCAAATTGCAATAAGCATCGGGAAAGTCTGGTTTCAGTTTCAACGCCGTTCTGTACGATTGTATCGCTTCGGGAATGTTGCCGGAATCTTTATGTATTGATGCCAAATTGGAATGAGCATCGGCAAAAGCCGGATTGATCTGAATGGCTCGTGTGTAACATTGCAGAGCACCTTGAATATCTTGCATTTCTTTCAGTGTGTTACCCATATTCGAGTAAGCATCTGCAAAAGTTGGCTGTATACGTATCGCTTCTTTGTAATGCATCAATGCTTCGTTCAGTTTGCCCTGTTGCTGCAGAACTGACGCGAGATTACTGTGGGCTGCCGCGAACTCAGGAAATACTTCCAGAGCTTTGAGATACAAGCGAGTGGCTTCCTCAATGTAGCCTTGCTCGCGTTTTATGTTGGCCTAAGAAGAAGTCAAGTATAAATTTTTATTTAAGATTTATTTGAAATTTTGTTTAAAAAGTCATTGAAGATCATTAATCATTCTTTACCAAGTTGTTAAGAGAATCTGCGTGTGTAGGGCAAAGTCGGAGGGCGGTATTGTAACATTCTTCCGCTTCGACCACTTGGCCCTTTTCTTTGAGCGCATTAGCCAAATTACAGTACGCATCTGGGAAGTTCGGTTGCAATTCGATAGCACGTCGATAAGTATCGATGGCCAAATCGATAAGGCTGCAAACATCATACGTGATTATATCTTTTTCTCAAAAAGTGGTCTCTGTCGTGACACCACCAGTGTTTTATTTTGTAAAATTTATACTACAAACACTTTTTTTGTATAAAATAAACTTTTATTATACAACTGTAAGCGCAAAAAACTCACCCTTGTTCATAGTAAACACAGGCCAAATTACCGTGTACCACCGCATTATTTGGGCTAAGATTCAACGCACGAAGATACGCCGCAACAGCTCTGTAACAATCGATTAATTGAAGAATAATCAATGATTACGATTATTTTTTATCCCAATCCTTGAGAAAGAAAAATTTTATTTTGTGGATATAAAAACTTGGATATCAACTCAAACGTTAAACTTGGTTAGAGTATATCGTTCTTTGTGTTCTAAAAAAAAAAAAAGAATTCTTTCTCTTTCCACCGATTCGATTATGTGATTGTACAGAAACTAATATAGCTTCTCGTTACGGAGACGAGTTCGAAACCTTTTGACGCAACGCCTTATCCAGGAGACGCACCCAGGAGTGGAGGGTCGTACTAGAGTGTCTTCTATCTGAACGCGAAGCGCGGGCGCGATAGTAGTCGAGGGCGAAATCACCGTATAGACGACCACGCACTGGCAGTCCATACCTTCCCCATCCCGACCTGTCTTGGATCCGCAGATCCCGGAGTCCGCGGATCCGAGCGCGAGGAAAAAGATTCTTGGCAACGCGGATATCGTTTAGGCAAGCAACATCCTTAAATAGAGAAAAGATCATTGGAAGAACAAAAAAAGTAGCGCGAGGCTATCGCCAAGAGAAATCCAAAGATCTTTGTCTCTTTCAAAGGAGAATACGTCTCTGAATAGGCGCGAATTCATGCAAAATGCGCAGAAGCCAAGCACTTTCGAAAACGTTAACCTTTCGAAAGCAAACGCACGACCGCAAAAAAGATTTAATTAATTTCAAAATTATTTGCGTATTATTTCACAAAACGCGAAGTGTGTTGGATTTTTTTTTAGAATGCACAGAGATTACGTAAAAAAATAAAAATAAAAAATGTGTCACTCTGTAAATATAAATCTGAAGAAAAACGGAATCGACTCTCTCCTGACGATACGTGCAAAATTAAAGAGGTGACGCAAGGCACAAACGGATCCTCTCAGATCTTGTTGAACGCGCAATTTCTCGTGAGCGCACACACGTCAGTCTGGCTGACGTTCAAGCGTAAAAAAAAAAAAAAAATCAAAAATACGAACGACGCGATCGCGAAGTGTATTGTGCGTGAATGTGAGCTTTTTTGAATCCACATAGAATTCCACTTATCCTAGCATCCACAGATATTTTTTTAGGCAGCAGGAGGTAAAGCAGGAATTACACACAAGCAACCGGAAAATCCTTCGATGTGCGGATCGTGAGAGACAGGTCCGGGGCTAGATGTTGGCGACCGAAGGGAGGACACTTAACTCTCGCGAACGAGATTCCCGTTTACGTCGAAAGCGGTGAACGGGCACGCGTATCCTCCCACAACGGGGACGAAGGGCTAGTAGTGTGGGGGCGGAGCGGTTTCCAGAATCGATAGCAGTCCTTGGGATTCCTCCCACTTTATGCGTGAGGATTTTTCATAATAAAAAGAAAAAAAAAAAAAAACACGAAAAAATACGCGCGTTCACATCACAATTTCACACTTAATTTTTCTTATTGCGGTCTCTTGAAATAATACACGCTAAAATTACGTCTTATAATTTTTTTGTTGTGAGATAGCTTCGACATATATATATATGTGTGTGTGTGCATGTATATAATAACATCTAAATATTTAGTAAAACAATTTAATAAATATTAATGGAGAATTGATAAGAGAAGTGAAAACACGAAAACGATATTGCGTAAGTGTGAGCAAAGATAACAATATGAAAGGCGTCAAGATTTTTTTTTTTTTTTTTTATCAGACGGCTATCAGACGAATCTGGATAGAAATCAACAGACCGACGGGAGCCAGACACGAATAGAGTAGAGAACATTGTGTGAAGATAAATATATTTATATAAAAGAGTGTGCGTGGCTTTTCAATCGGAGAATTTTTAAAAAATAAAATATATATAAAAAAAAAAAACATGACTAGAAATATACGCGTAGATATAATCCAAATAAATTTCCAAAAAAGGAAGGTCAAAGAGCCAATAAGAGCCTCTCAACACGGATGTTAGTGTGTGTAACAATTAAGGATTTATTAATATTTGATAGTAACGTTTCGATCCTAGGTTTGGATCATCTTCAGACAAACGCATGGGTGTCAATGTATTTATATGTCAAAAGACCTTCAACATGTCAAACGTAGTCCAGCAAAAGTAATGACAAAATTGTACGACTGTCACTTTTCCATGCCGAAAGTCAAAAATAAATTTCTAACGCACAATTTGTAAAATAAAGATTCCAATACTGCTGATTAAAAATTACGCGAAAGACTTCAAATGAAAAATTATGCCGCGAAATACATTAAAGTTTGACACGATGTGTAATAATAAATAAATAAATAATATTTTTATCATAATTGCGCGAATCGACTCGTGCACAATATTTATGAAAAAATAAAAGATTTCAGCGATGAAATCGGTGCATTGTCCGAATTTTCATTCAAATGCGGAGGACGGTGAACTTTAAAAGGATGTTATCGATCCTTAACGCTTATTCGACGGCTCATGCGCCGTGTTTTCAGAACAGATACGCAAAAAACGAGTATGTGGTCAACACATTCACACAGCAATTTTATCGTTCGGTCTTTTTTTTTTATTTTATCGCTGTGAGACTCAGACATCAATCTTTATTACTGTCTTAGTGGAGCCAAATCGGTAAAGTGCCCCGCCCCCCCGAAAAGTGGGGGAGTTGGACTGTTAATCGAGATGATATTTTTAGCAACAATATTTTTCAAATTATCTTTCAAATAGATTGCAGAAGAAGAGAGTCAAATATTCGGAGATACGTATAATTTGAAGAAAACCAAAAAAAACTTGTATAGTTTTTGACTTCCCACTGATGCTTTTGTACACAACAATGGAATAACTAAAACTACTAATTTTGCTTTTGCACAGATTTTAAAATCGACAATGAGAAAAATTTCAAAACGTCGATTGATCAAACACTGTGCGTAATATGTACGCGTATAATAAATAGTCTTTCATAAATTACTTCTATATAGTTGATCCGTCTGGAAAAGGGTCCAGTTTGAAATATATATGTGACTAAAATTAAAAAAGAAATAAGTAATAAATGCAAACCTGTCAAATATTCTGGCCTCCTTGAGCACGTTGCCCAGGTTAATGTACGCATCTAGGAAGTTGGGATCCAACGCGACCGCTTTCTCGAAATGGTGTATCGCCAGCCATATTTCGCCTTGAGCATTGAACACACAGCCGAGATTGCTCCAAGCAACTGCAAAATCTGGTCGTGTCTCGATCGCCTTTAAATAGCACGCCTAGAGAAACAGAGTGCGGTTTACAGCAACACATTCGCAAACTCACAAAAGGACGCGCGCCGCGCTTTGTGCCCGACCTCCCATCGCCGCGCCGCAGCTTCATTCTCTCTTTCACACACACACACTCTTCACATTTCTTTCTTTCTTTTTCTCTTCCCTTTTATCCTTTAAGTTGTTTAACCTTAATGAAAAAAAGAAAACATGTTTTGCTACCCTATGTCCTTTCTGTTTCCTTTCCTCGCGCACTTTCCAACTTCCTATTCGTCAAAACGGCAAACGGTTGTTTCGATGAACGAAATTGTCCCCAAGTTTCTGTATGAATTCTCGTGATCATTTATGTCAGATTTTTATATCATTTCTTATAAATATAATTTTCGTATTTTCTCAGGTTTTAGCATTACATATCCTTAGAACTATGGAAGATTACTAAAGAGAGAAAGATATATATATATATATATACTTTTACATGTGTAAAATGATATACATATATATATATATATATATATATACTTTTACATGTGTAAAATGATATACATATATTGCTGTAAATGTGTAAAATGCTTCTAATTTTGATGACAAACTTTCAATCTACATTAATGTAGAACAGTATTTATATTCAAAAACTTAAAAATCAAATATAATAATATATGTTCATTTTGACAATTATTATTTTTTAAGCCTCAAATCCTTTTCTGAACATCTTGCGTGATATGTGAATAGCAGTTACTTAATTGACATCATAAAAAAGTATAAGTATGTATATATTACACGTGTATCTCCAGGTAAGAGGTCTCTCCTAAAAAAACAAATAACACATTACTGTAAATTTAGAAAAAATCAGAGCATTAGAACAAAATTTCTCCAAACTCGTCACGTAGAGAGAATTCAACACAATACATTACACAAAATTAAATTAAAATTAAATTAAAAATTCTATTCCTAGAAGAGTAAGTAGATTTGTCTGAGTGTGCAGATTGTGTGAAAGTGTGGTAAACAATCCGTGAGAAGAAGTAAACTGTACAAAAAAAAAAAAACCAAAACAACTGTGAAAATATATACAGTTATACATTTAAAAAATCTAAATATTAAAATTATGCAAGTTTTTATTTTTATTTTCCTGAAAACAAATATATTATGTTGATGTTACTAAATAGATCTAGAGATAATGCAAGTCCAAAGTACATGCGAACAACATTTTCTTCATGCATATTGAATCAAATGTTTTTTTATTTATAAATACGATTATTTCATTAAAATTGACTTCTTTGGTTTGTTCAACATTGATCTCGATAATTCGCGTCCTCTTCGTACTCGTCAAGGACGAGAAAGGAACAAGGAAACAGAGTGGACTAGAGTTGCTCCGCGAGTGATCAACAATGCGTTCTTGGGGGGGTGGGAAACCGGGGAAGGTCCAGAGGATGAAGGAGTGTTCAGAGGTGCGCGCTAGAGACATCATCGGTTAACGTGCGATTTTCTATACACGTAGAATCTCCGAAATGCGTCCGGCAGACTCCACTGAAATTCGTACGCTAAAATCAAATCCACTTAACACGGTTCGTCTGAACTCGGACGAATTTGTTTTGCAGAGACAAAGATGAATTTTAATCTCTTTAAAATGAAACGATCGTGAGATACTTTCCGAACAACTAAGATGACGACTCTAAGGATTCAGCATGGATAGTAATCGCGCGTGCCGAGAGGCGGGCTGCATTAAATATTGAACAGAGTAATATCCGTACCTAAACAATAAGTAAGAGAGGGCATTTACAGTCGACCGGTCTCTGCAGGATACATTACCTGAAGTAAAGGAAAAACAAAGGAACAAGAGCGAAGAAGGAATAAGAATACACACTATAGTAACTTTGTTCTCATATGCACACACAATATAAATGTGCATAATATAATTTGCAATTAGAATAACTTACAAATGTGTAAAAAAAAAAATAAGATTGGAGCGTTATATAAATTGTTTACAGAGATTAGAAATATTTCAATAATATTTAATTTAATTTTAAAACCCGTTCAACGCGACATATTGGAGAACAATAAAAGTTCAAATAATTAATTCATAAATATTTCAGAAACTATAAATTATTATTATGATAAAAAGATTATTGCACAATAAAATATAATTCGCAAAACTATTGTTTATGTGTGATATTGAAAAAAATAAATAAATTGTTTTTGTACTTTTAACGTTTATGTGCAAACTGAAATTTGCATAAAATATTTTCGAGATTTTTAAAAGAGCACGCATAAACTTAAAGATAACCGTTATATTGATCGTTCCTCGTGAAGTTGTTTTGCAACAATATGTTTTGGAAGGATAAGAAGAAGGGATTTATTTTTTTTTTCAAAGTGAATGGAAGGGACTAGTTTTTTTGATGTTAGAGACCGGCCTTGGGAATTACTTTACCTGCAGTGTACCCTTCGGTATGTTGATTCGGTAGGTACGGCTTGCAAGCTCTCATAATAAACTTAGACCGAGACAGTGTGTTACTGAATAACCAGATTCACCCTTTGACGAAGGAACCGGCGCGGTAACAGACCAATCTCACATGATCCTGCACTTCCCCTCCTAGAGTTGATCATCCCATCCACAACAATAAGACAGCTGCGTTAATGTCTCTTCACTGATTATTCTTCGCCTCAATCTTTCTTTGTCTTTTATACTTTTTATCATCATTTTTTTCTTTATTTTCTTTCACAATGTACGTGTGCGTACAAAGTTGAATAACTCGCGTGGCTGTGAACGACACGCTTCACCAAGTTCATCAGCTAACTACTGTTTTGCTGAAGATTCTCCTCTCACGATCGTGAAGATTTAAGATATTTCTCTTCTTTTTTAAAACATTTGTTATATTGTTGTAAAAGTGAATAGCATGATCAATGGAGTATATAATATATCCTGTCAGTTTACGTTGTTGATGTAAAGTAGGTGGCTGAATGAACTTGATAGATAATAGACGAGCGTACCAGCCAGTTCTCGGGAACAGCGGGAGATGTAACGGGAAGCTTTCCTCGTTGCTGTTGTTATTTTGTAAAACCGCGAGAGATTGTATCTGTAAATCCTTGTCCTTTTACTCACGCACAACGCGCTCATGAGTCAGAACGTGTATCAAAACCCCAGCGAGAATTTGCAAATATATACGGTACTTACAGATACATTCTCATCGCGGTCGTCGCCGCGCCGCGCTGCAAAAGCAGATCGCTTGACCAGTCGAACAAACAACAAATCATATGTGATTTAAAAAAGTTTAACAACGTGGTTTTCACTTGACAACGTGGTTTTTTTTTTTTTTTACCTTTCATATTGATATTACTTGCAAGTAATATTAATATTAGCAGCAATATATATATATAATTTATTATTGTGTGATATTTCTTCGACTTTGTCTCGTGTCTTGAAAAATTTTCACAAAATAATATCGCCTTGCTGACCGAAATGAAAACGCGTGTAGTAACACTTTTCGATTTTCAAATTGATCAAGTGATCTCGCGCCAATATCGCAATATCATTCTTTCTCTTTCTCACTTTCTATCATCATCAATGTAAAAGTGCTGAAAATTACACGTGCACACAGTGATGCACGTGCGATAATATATAACAGCAAAAGTCACACACATCAACAAACAAGAAACGTTACGTGTTCGCGCGCTGCCAGACCCATCGGTGTCAAACACAAAACAAAATTTGAAATCCTATCACTGACTTTGATAGGACTGGCAAACAACCTATTTTATTGCGACAACACCACGAAAGAGTCCTTGAAAGAGTCAAAACATTATTCACTGTAAAGATGTTGCTGCAAAAACGCGCAATGCTAAGTAACGCTCTCTCTCTCTCTCTCTTCAGTTACTCCGAAAATATATATATATATATATATATATATAACCCCAAACACTATATTTCTTTTTACACTCGAATAAACTGTTCAAAACAAATTAGCTCAAGATCAAAAAACAGAAAACATGAAGAAAAAAAAATTTTAAATGTTCTCGACTGTCTTCTGAACGTCGCGATTCGATTTCTTTTTTTTTTTTTTAAAAAAAAAAACAGTTTTCGAAAAACGTCCGTGCTTTGTTGAAAGTTATATTGTTTAGGGTTAAAACCGTCGCTCAATGTCGCGTCTTGGAGAATGGAAATGGTGCGACATGAAACGCGGTTTCTCTGCGACTTTATTAGACTGAGGAAACGCGCGCGATCTTCTTCTTCCAATCCACGATTTTCTTCAACCGTGTTTTTTTAGCGCTCACGTTTTTATTTCTCACTCGCAATATATATATGCACAAAACATTTGTTCGTGTACAAAATTCAAATACACGAGTTGATTTTCTTGGAAGATCGCGCGCCGCGCTTGCAATTTGAGCCCCAGCAAAAAGAACGAAAGCTTCTCGTCGCAATAACGCGAACGAATTTTTCTCGCTCGGCCCGCTTAATTCACGGAGAACTGTGCGATATAGCTCGTGCACATACGAGCGATACATTTACACCCCGTCAAGAATTGTGTTAACGGGGACCAAGAATATGTATTTTCGTAATTAGATTAGAAAGTATTGAGTACAACTTTTTTTTGTTTGCTCTCTCCTTGATCCAGCAAAGAGACGCCAATACTTATAATACTGATATTGATATCATTTCTTTAGGATTCAGAAAAGATATTAAGATAATTTTAGGGACAAAGTCTTCGGGATAGAATAGATAATTTTTTTTAATTAAAAACTTCTGATAGCAATCTCTTATTCAGTTCAAGAAACGCAATAGCTTATTTCTGTTTTTTTTTTTTTTTTTATTCCATTGTTCCCCGCCGGCTTGATGGAAGTAAAAATGTTCGCAAACATGTGCGTGACACGTTGGTTCAGTTTATTAAACTAATAGAAATAATTCTAAAACGTACCTTAGCTTCATCAAGTCTTGCTAATGCTTTCAAAAGATTACCAAGATCGCTCCGTACACAATAAAGATCCTGGAACAAGCGATATATGTAAATTATTTTTGTATAAACTTATTACTACGTACTTGTTTAGATGAAAAGTTTATATTGAAGTTTACGTAATCAAAATTTTCAAAACTTTCTCTAAATCTCACACAAGATATAGTTTTACCATATTACAAATAATAGTCTTATCAAATGATAACAAAAAAAAACAAACAAACATTTGGCAAGTCTTCTAAGAACTTTTTTGCAGTTTGAAATAGTCTAACACTTCATATGTTACTTAATATGTGTTTAATGTCGATTATCTCACGGGATTATATTGCAGTGCTGTGACATATGCTTGAACGGCTTGTTCCATATCTCCCGCTGCCACAAGAGCTGCGGCTAAGTTGATGTAGCCGTCGATAAAGTCTGGCTTCAACCTGACGGCGTGACGATAGTTCTCCAAGGCTTCTGGCAGTTGTCCCCGCTCTTTATACACATTTCCTAAATTGCTGTACGCCTCTGCCAATACAGGATTTTGCTTTATTGCTAAGGAGCTATATTGTGCCGATCTGAAAATTTACGAAGTTGCATACTTACTTAGCAACGCAACCCATCATTTAAGATTATAATAGAATTCTTTACTTATCTGTAAAATATATGTAAATACTTTCACCGTATCTAATCAAAAATTAAATGTCACTTACTTTTCTAGCCTTCTACACTGGAAATGTATAGAGGACAGTAAGAGAAGAACGCCGGTATTGGTTTGATCTTGCCGCCACAATTGCATGCAGTGTCGTTCAGCATTCTCATAATCTCCTGACTGATATTCTCTATGAGCGAGTTCAAGTAACCCTGAAATAAGAATAGAATACGTTATGAAAATATTTAAATATTTCGATTACACTCAACACACACATACACACACACATATATATATATAATTCTGACAAAAGAATAAAAACATTTTTAAAACATTTTTGTAGTCTAAATTTTCAGCATTGTGTGTTTAATAATGAAAGAATAAAAATATAAAAATTGAAAACTGGATGTAGTTAGTTCGAACTAGTGTTATATTCCAAACAAAGGACGACCGAAAATCACACGTGTTATCAACACATAAAGAAAAATAAAACATCACGAATCAAGATTCTCCTTTAACTTTATTTTAAGATCGACGACTATCGCCCGACCATCGTCCCTCTTTGTGATGGAAGAAAAAAAAAAAAAAAACTAGTCCAAAAATATACGAACAATAACCGTCAGCGAGGACATTGACAGACTGATTATCGGCCAAGCTAATTATCTCCTTGCCCTGGATGTCCTGCGTGACCACCAAGAGATTTTGCCCGCTCTGCCAGTCGCCGTCCTCGATTTCCGCGTTTCCAATCAGCCCGTTAGAACCTTTCAGCGCGTTGCTTTTCTTCTCCGCTACGTGAACGCTCATCTTTTTTTTTTTTTTCAGATGACCGCACAGGTAGACCTCCGCCGCAAAAACTCGATTTTTGCGAGAGATCCGCACGCTCTGCTCTCACGCGAAAGAGAAAACTGTGTCCGGCACTAAACGTTCCTAAACCAGTGTCTTTCGCGATCTATAAACTTCGCAACGATCCCCGAAATATTTTTCAGTCGTTAACGCTCTGCTTCGCGCTTGGCTTCGCTACGAGTACGCTCAACCTAGCTCGCTCTATTCTCCCCCTCTCTCCGGTAGTTCGGAGCGACAACGTACAAGCCGATTGGTCGGGGTTATAGCGGGCCTGATGCATCGCACGTCAGATTAAAACGGAAAAGGAGCGACGCGGGGGGAGAAACATTTTCAGGAGCGTATGTGTATGTGTGATGCGTGGACGGTTATGGTCTTGTTGGGTAGTGTACAATTCATTCTCGATATTTATAGGCCGGTGATATTGCCCACGTGTAAAAACGTATCTTGCGTCTTCTTCCATCATTTGTCGCAAAAGTGTCAATTCTAATAAAATTACTTATTGACAGAGAGAGAGATATGAATAAACATATAAAAAAAAATATTATAAAAATTTTGTTTCTCGCGCTGATTCAAATAAAACTTTTTTTTCGCACCGAGCAGCGACTTCATCCACAAAAACAAAAAAAACTTATCAAGAACTCGAGCTAATTTTGACTCGGTCGGTTTATTACACAATTTCTTAGATAACAAACTCGAGCTAATTTTGACTCGGTCGGTTTATTACACAATTTCTTAGATAACATTAATTTCTTAGATAACGCGTCCTCTTCTACACGCGCACATGTTTTATTATTAGAAATGAGATCAGAAAAAAATTCGCGCGACTCGTATCGTTCTTTTTTCTTTTTTTTTGTTACAAAAAAATCAGATTATTACAGTCTGCTAATTGCTAAGTACGTCACTGTTCCCGGAGGACCAAGATGGGAGAAGCTACATATAACGATGAAAAAGGAGGGGAAGTGGGAGAGATCTTCCCTTCTCTCTCTCGCACACGAGGGCAGATGGAATAGGCGCCCAGTGGAATATTCCATTGTCGCGTTCAATGAAAGGAGAGGAAGCGGCGAGAGAGAGAGAGAGAGAGAGAGAGAGAGAAAAGAGAGGAGGATACCCCCCTTAGAGCGAGGGAGAGATGCCCAAAGCGAGTCCAAACGCGCGATGCCGGCCGGAATTTTCTGCATAAAAAGAAAAAAAAAAAAAGACCGAAACAGGAAACTCTCTTGTGCTCAACTTGTAAGAGTTTCCGAAATAAAAAACACACTAACGTATAAAATTTGTTTTAACATCTGTACGAGGATCGCGTTGCGGAAGTTTCACACGAAACTAGAGAACGGTAGTTTACGAAAAATCAGTCGAAAGAATTTTCCGCGTGATATTGGGTTGTTACGTTTCACAGAAAACTCAAAACGGTTGAGAGAGATTGTTCCTTACGGAATGGGATTATTCTTCAAAAATTCCTCTGCGCTACAGTTCCAAAACTATGATCCAATCGTGAGTTATGATTATCTCTCAACCGTTGTGCAACTGTTGTCCGAGAAAACGCACTCGTTATCACGAATACGAATGGCGAACAAAGAATAGAAGAGTTAAATATGATCAGATCGGAGAGAATATCGTTTTACAGAGGGGATAAGCACCGGAGATAAAGTTTCGACTCAGATCGCTCAAATGACCGCAGAGATCGACGATTTGTTTCATATCGCGAAAACAATTTATTGCTTTTCTCTTAGAGATTTAAGGATTAAATATATATATATATATATATATAATATCTGCTATCTCTCTTGCTCTCGCGAAAAATTTTGTTTTCTCTTTCTTCGGGATTAAACAAAAATTGTCGGGATACAAACACGCAACTACGTAACGCGATAAAAAAATCACAAACATTCACTCTCTATTATTTTCCAAGCATCTGCTTGTTGTTACATCTCTTTAAAAAACTGTCTAATTGTTCAAAAACTGCTCGTTTGAAAAATTAAATTTGATTTGCGCAAATAAGGATACGATTTATTTTATACACACACTCAAACAGATAGCGGTTGCACACATATATGTATCTTTGTTTTCTCTACCTCCTTTCTTTACGCCATGTGCACTTACGATAGCGATACAAGGACATCCCGCGAGAATAAAGAACGAACTAAAAATATATATAATTCACAAAAAAAAATTGCGGAAAGATGCAAAAGATACAAATTACATTGCGGACTCGGAATCGCGTTCGCGCTTCGGACATAGAAAAATTCAAAAAATATGTAAACGTGAAGAATAGAATACGCAGATACAAAGGTTTTTTAGAAAAGATTCATATGGCTCACTCTATCTCTCTCTCTCTCTCTCTTTCTCTCTCTCGAATAAATTATTCGATTCGGGTTAAGAGAAATGGACGGGTGCCAACAACGTACCGACGGTCGACAGCTGCTGGATCTCATTCATCTTCAATATCACACTGGTGCCTCCTATCTGCTGATGGCCCTGCTGCTGCTGCTGCTGCTGCTGCTGCTGTTGTTGTTGCTGCTGCGGTTGCTGTTGCGCCTGCATAGCTACGACTCCCGGCCGTGGATTTTGGAAACAGCAGCGCGCGTCGCGAGAATCAAAAAGGGAGACGCCGCGCGACGGAGCGCGACAACGAAACTTAATAGCACCCCCGCTTATTTAGGAATATCTGTGCGTTCTCTCGTTGCTCGATTGCGATCAAAATTATTCACACGCGCACAGCTGGGTCGATTCTCAGCGTGTGACATGTACGTTTTGCGCGGAGTTTTTTAGACGCGCGCCATCATGCAAGTCGCCATTGCAAGAGCGCAAGAAACTCAACAGTCACCCTCGGACGTTCTCGGCAATTCGCGCGACCGATCGGCCACAGCGATAGAGACGGAGGAACGACGGAAGGTGATCGATATACACGTAGCGCGCCAGAGAATTAAACTTTGTTGTGATTGAAGTAAGATACTATGGAGATAAAGTGCGCAATAAAAAAAAAAAACCTGTATTCTTTAAAAAATGAAAAGAAAGATCAGAAAGATTAGATAAATAAGCTAAACTCGAATTTTATTGCGACCTAATGAGTAAGAGAGAAAAAGAGAGAGAGAGAGAGAGAAAATGGTCGACTTTTAAGATCGATCTTGAGGACCTCTTGCGGAAAAACATGCTACTTCGGTGATTCAAAACTACCACTACTAAAAATTAAATTCTCTATAAATGTGTACGAAGAGAGAAGCCTGAGGGCGACGTCCCATTGAGCGGAAATCTATAGCGGAACGGAATGTGCGGAACCAGCTCGACCAATCATAGCCATTCCGTTTTCTTTCCTTCGCTTTTTCTGTGGTTACGATTGGTCAAGCTGGTTCCGCACATTCCGTTCCGCTATAGATTTCCGCTCAATGGGACATCGCCCTGAGAGCGGCCATTCCATTGGGTGCGTTCAGACAACTCAACGGTTGAGAGATCATCACTTACGATAGGACTATTCTTCAAAATCACAAGCGGTTCCAAAAGTACGATCCAATCAGAAGTGATTATCTCTCAATCGTTGTGCAACTGTAGAGTTGTCTGAACGCACCCATTGTAGTTTCTTACGACGGTTTCGACCGCTAGTTTTAACCGTATTTCCACAAAAGTGAGAAATTCAGAGAGAAACCCAACCCTGGCTAGTCGCGTATCTTCGCAATGAGAGGCACGAGGCCCGAGAAAGAGAGACGCACGAAGTCCAAATATGGGCATAGATGGTCGAGCGTCATTATGCGCAGGCGCATCTACCAAGTGAGTGCGAGCGAGACAAAACATTGGAAAGNGGAAAGTGAGAGAAAGAACGCGAGAAAGAGAAATGCGCAAGCGTGCTTGAATGTTCACCGCATGCGCACAAAGCAGCTGGAGAGAGAGGCTACTATATTGTCTGCACCGTAACATTGAGCTTCAGGTCGGCACCGTACTAGCCAGGGTTGTTAAATAGTAACTCTTTCTCTGTCTATCAATGTCTGTGGTGGGATCAGGGCTTACTGTTTCATACCACCTAATCTACCATCACCCCTTAGGCCCGGTTTCACAATTGACGGTTAACTCAAATTAACGGAAGCACAACTTGCTGAACTCGGCCTAACGCATCTTTCCTTCCTAAACATGAACTGTGATTGGTTAGCGAAGATTTGACAAAGAAGATTGAACGCGTTAAACCGAGCTCAGCAAGTCGAACTTCGGTTAATTCGAGTTAACCGCGAATTGTGAAACCGGGTTTTAATCTCTTTCACTCTTCATCACCACCACTTATCCACTACTATTCTATCAATCAGCGAAGACTTTTTTTTCCCCACTACTTCGCTAGACAAAGATGAGGCTATTGTTCAACACCAGCTGTCTCTCTCAACGTTGAAGACATTTTCTTAACATGGCAAAGGTAGGGAACGCGTAGTCTATATGTATATTATACGTCTATGACGTTGATGCGTATTAATCCGTTAGTGACAGGAAGAAAGTGTGAAAAATTTTAATAAAGAGAGGATTAAGAAAAAGAAATTTGCCACTGAAAAGTATATTAATCAAATTTCAGTTGAACACGATCCATCCTTATATTCCAGCATTAATTTATAATATTATTAATTTAGATCAATATTCNATAGAAGTCATAAGTTACATAACTGGATTTATTGTAAGATATTTAATTAAATACATCATGTGTGATATTTGTGTTAATGCTTTAATTGATAATAATAAATCAAAGAAAATTATACAAATAAAAGATCGTAAAAGTTTAACATATCCTTCAGAAAGCGTGATAAAAATATGCCTTGAAACAGAAAAGATTATCAGATTTGCTATAAAAGAAAATAATATACCTTCTAGTTCAAAATATTCCGTTCTTTATATTACACAAAATGTATTTTTAACTTTAAATATGATTAATATATTTGAAGAATTGATAACACATTCATATGATCTATTTAACATGTCATAAAATAAATTAAATTAAAAGTATTATAATAAAATATGTACAGACAAGATTTTTTTCTATTGTAAAACAGAATAATAAGAATAATAATGTAAGCAAGAGACATTTTCATAATAAATTAATATTATTTGCAGGACAGTAAATTATGTTTATAAGTTATTTTTTTCATTTACTTATTTATTTACCTATATTTATTAAATGTTATAAATATCTATAATATAATATCTATAATTATAATTTATTAAATTTTGTTTTTTTTTGTTAGTTTTTTAAGTACATATTTTATTAGATTTCTTAAAATATCATTCTGGGCATTATTCCATCGAAGTATTGTAAAGTTCTAACAGATGGCAGTACTAGTGGCTCATATAATCATGGCTGCATAGGCTTCAACTTTTTTCGACAACGCTCCCTCCTTTATCTCCATCTCTCCATGATGGTAGCTAAAAAGCTTTCATTACTGCTACCTAGATTTTATGCGAACTAACAATTGCGACTTACACATATAAATAATTATAGGAAAACCAAAACTAAAACTTAAACAGAGAAACAACATAGAAGAGAGATTTTAGACAAAAACAGATGCAAACTGAGCACTATTTTTACCATGGACTATATTGGTACAAGCGATAGGTTAATATGTGCAGTTCGTGAAGGAAACCTAGAAAGAACAAGGGAGTAACTTACTTATCTTGGACTATCTTATTCACAAGAATGGTCAGAAGGATATGATTTACTTTGTGATGCTATTGAGAAGAAGCATACAGAATTTATTATTACACTACTTTTAACAATGAGTTGTAATGTTAACAGAGACACTGACGAATCTTATGATACTTTACTTCATTTAGCTGCTATAAATGGTGACATAGAAATTGTTAAGATGCTTCTAAACAGACGTGCTAACATTAATACTGAAGATCACTTTGGCAGAACTCCGCTTCACAATGCAATTGAAAATAAGGATATAGAACTTGCTGAATTACTTTTAGATTATGGAGCTACCGTTAATGCCAGTGACAGTTTAGGTACACCTTTATATTGCACCTGAGAAAATATATATATAAATTTTTGAACATTTTTTACAACATGGAGTTTATGTTATTTTTACATATATATCTACATTTACACCAGGTTTTACACCACTGTGTCTCGCTGTTCACCAACAACATGTACGTGGTGTTAAGATGCTGTTGGACAGAGGTGCTAACGTTAATTATTCAAATTGGTGGCCTTGCACAACTCTGCTTCACTATGCGATGGAAACTAAGCAAATAGAAATTGCTCAATTACTATTAAATCATGGAGCTAACATTAATGCTAGTGGAAAGTCAGGTATAACTTTATATTGCAACTGAGAAAATATATTTACAGATTGATGAACATATTTAAAACATGGACTTTTTAGTAATTGTACATATATATCTATTTTTTTACACCAGGTTTTACACCACTGTGTCTTGCTGTTCGACAAGGACATGTAGATGGTGCTAAGATGCTGTTGGACAGAGGTGCTAACGTTAATGCTAAATCTGTGTTTGGCAGAACTCCGCTTCACGATGCGATGGATAATAAGGAAATAGAAGTTGCTGAATTACTTTTAAATAATGGAGCTAACGTTAATGCCAGTGATATGTTAGGTATAACTTTAAATTGCAACTGAGAAAATATATTTACAGGTTGATGAACATCTTTTAGAACATTAAGTTTAATTGGAGAGTTAATTCTATATAAATCTCTTCTTTTTCAGGTGTTACACCAATGTGTATCGCTATTCAAATAAGACATGTAAGTGGTGTTCAGATGCTTTTGGACAGAGGTGCTAACGTTAATGCTGAAAATCGGAATGGCCGAACTCCGCTTCACTATGCGATTGCAAATAAGGAAATAGAAATTGCTGAATTACTTTTAAATTATGGAGCTACCGTTAATGCCAGTGACAGTTTAGGTACACCTTTATATTGCACCTGAGAAAATATAAATAAAAATTTTTGAACATTTTTTAAAACATGGAGTTAATGTTAATTTTACATACATATCTACATTTATACCAGGTTTTACACCACTGTGTCTCGCTGTTCACCAACGACATGTAGATGGTGTTAAGATGCTGTTGGACAGAGGTGCTAACGTTAATCATCAAAATAAGAAGTTTGGCTCAACTCCGCTTTATGATGCGATGGAAAACAAGGAAATAAAAATTGCGGAATTACTATTAAATCATGGAGCTAACGTCAATGCCAGGCCTAAGTCAGGTATAATTTTATATTGCAGCTGAGAAAAGATATTTACAGATTGATGAACATATTTAAAACATGGACTTTTTAGTAATTCTACATATATATCTATTCTTTTACACCAGGTTTTACACCACTGTGTCTTGCTGTTCAACGAGGACATGTAGATGGTGTTAAGATGCTGTTGGACAGAGGTGCTAACGTTAATCATCAAAATCATTGGTCTAGCAAAACTCCGCTTCACTATGCGATTGAAAATAAGGAAATAGAAATTGCTGAATTATTATTAAATCATGGAGCTAACGTTAATGCCAGTGATAAGACAGGTATAACTTTAAATTGCAGCTGAGAAAAGATATTTACAGATTGATGAACATCTTTTAAAACATGGAGTTTTATGTTAATGCAACATATATCTCTTCTTTTACACCAGGTGTTACACCACTGTGTCTTGCTGTTAAAAAAGGAAATGTAGAAGTTGTTGCGATGTTGTTAGACAGAGGTGCTAACATTAATGCTATATCATATAACTATTATTATGACTCTTATTGTCGCATTTCTTGTAAAGAAATTGCTGACTTTCTTACACAGCATATAGTTAAGATAAAAGCTGCAAATTTATCCGTAAGTGACCAATTATTATTAATGTGCAGCAATTATGAAATAAGAGATTTACAGGATAAATGTGAAAAAGAAGTAGCAATCATGAAGAATGAGAAAATTAGTAATACTAACATATCAGTTTACGATATCTTGATAAAAGCTACAAATCGATTAGCAATATATATGAGAAATGAAAATGTAGTGCAGGTTTTACGATCAGACAAGTATAAAACAAAATTTCCAATATACTCTAGCATGATAAAAAATCAGTTCAGAAAAGGTATGCAAAAGAAAGAGTTGCTCGAACAAGGCACTAAAATTTTTTATTTGTTCTATAACTTTCCTGAGCTACCACTTGGGTGTATTGAACGAATATTTAGTTACTTAAGTGATAATGACATAAGAATTTTAATAGATACTTGGAAGTCTGTTAGTGTCAGTAATTTTAATACTGATATTAATGATGATAGAAATTACTTCAAATACATCTAAAGTGCTATGTGTGTAAGTTAAGGAAGAACGAACTACTTTAAACATGAAATAACAGGTATAAAAACTTAGATTATTGCTGTATTTTAAATACAGATTACTATCTTATTTTGTGAATTTATTTTGTTTTTAAGATTTTATCTTATCCTACTTTTTTGAAAGTTCTTTTTTACGTTTACATTCTCTTGGACGTGTTCTTGTATGGTGGATCCAAGGAAAAGTAGACTGTTTTATATCTCCTTTTTTTTCAAACTTTGTGTCAGATTTTATAACATTTGTATAACGCAAAATTTATATACATTAATTCGATGATACTCTTTTATTGAACAGAGTGTAATACGTGTAATTTCTTTTATTAATTTGAAAAATAAAATTAGATTGGAAAGCTTTGAATTAATCTTTGTTTTTATCACAGACATATGTATGTATTTTCTTTATATATATATATATAAGGACCCGTTGTTTCGAAGTTGGAACATGCGAGTTCGTGGAATGAGCGTGAGCGTTGCGAACGGCAAGTGGAACTTACCCATAAAATGTAAATGGGTTCGTTTAGACGACTCAACAGTTGCACACCAGTTGAGAGATAATCAAAAATTACTATAGGATGGCCGCTCTTAGGTTTCTCTCTGGTAGCAAATCTCGTGGAACTGATCAATCACGTTGGGCGATTGGCTGATTTGACTCTGCAATTGGTCAATTCCACGAGATCTGCTACTTGCGTTTAATGTAGAACGGCCTTTGAGTTCCACTTTTGTGGAAATACGGCTAAAACCAGCGGCTGAAACCGTCGTAAAAAATTACATTAGGATGGCCGCTCTCAGGTTTCTCTCTGATATCAGTTTCTGCATGTGTTAACAATGTAGAATAAAAAAATCGTTAGGTTATTTTGCAACATAACATATAATGATATTTTGCAATTAGCGCGCGTGTACTTCGTGCTTTTTTACCATTAAAAAAATAGGTTTCTAAATTGCATTAATACGCAAATTTATTTTTATATTGTATTAACGAGCAAAAGTTTTTTTATACATATTTATAATTAAAATATTAAAAATAAATATTTATAATTTTATGTAATTTTATTACTACTTAAACTCCTGAATAATCTTTTTCTATTTTGGTACTTTTTCATCTCCGTTATTCATATTGTAGCGGAACACAGAACACGCTTCTGATTTGCTAAAATACCAGGCCAAACAAACATGGCGCTATTCAATTTGTACCATGAATTTTTCTTGATGCGCATTCCAGTGTATATAGAGTTTAGTGCTTCCACTATTTTTCTATCCCCACTTTTCCACTACTATTCTATCAATCAGCGAAGACTTTTTTTTCCCCCACTACTTCGCTAGACAAAGATGAGGCTACTATTCAACACCAGCTGTCTCTCTCTCCACGTTGAAGACATTTTCTTAACATGGCAAAGGTGGGGAACGCGCAGTCTATATATTATACGTCTATGGTCAAAACTTGATACGCGTATTAAGTTTGGTGCGTACCAAAGCCTTTAGTGCGGGTGCGTTTACATCAAACGTACTAAAAGAAAACAATAATACGAATATAATTTATGTCGATTGCTTCCTAGCAGTGATAGTTGGAATTAATGTGCTTGAGTTTCTTGTTGCAGATCATGTATAATTTGTTTCAATAAAAAACGTGTATAATGTAGATTGTATAATTTATTTGAAAAAGGATGAATAATAACAGTGTACAAAAATATATAGCTTGAGCCGTTTTAAAAAAGCCTCTTTTTTCCATATATCTTCAACTAATAAATTTAAAATATCTATATGTTTGTGTTTTTTTTCCGTCCATTAAAACAACAATTTGCTTTTCTAGGCATAATTCCAAAAATGTCTTTGTTTCATCTTCTCCTCAAGTCATACCTTTTCTGCAAGACATTTTGATCAGAGAGACTAAAAGATTATAAGTTTATAATCTTAACCCTATATCTTTTAATCAACTTATAACTTTTTAAAATACGTTTCATGCGTTTACATTGTTATTTGTATCACTTGATACGCGTATCAATTGCACGATGTAAACTAAGCCATTATAGTTCAGTGGCAACAACACTGCCTCGCGTGTTCTCCCATCCCCGCACCAACTCTGCAACTTTTTGACGCCTTCTGTACGTAGCTGAAAAGCTCCCATTACCGCTACCTAGATTTTATGCGAACTAACAATTTCGACTTACGGCCGATTTCTTCACACCTCTCGATAGCTATCCTCTGGATAAATTTCTCTGCGAACCAATAAGAAGAACCAATTTTGGGAGATATCTTCTACATAAAGTTATCGAAAACTTATCTAGAAGTGAAAAAATTGGCTGTTATACATATAAATAATTATAGAAAAATCAAAACTAAAACTTAAACAAAGAAACAACATAGAAGAAAGATTTTAGTGAAAAACAGATGCAAACTGAGCACTATATTTAACATGGACTTTATTGGTACAAGCGACAGAATAATATGTGCAGTTCGTGAAGGAAACCTAGAAAGAGCAAGGGAGTTACTTACTTATCTTGGACTATCTTATTCACAAGCATGGTCAGAAGGATATGATTTACTTTGTGATGCTATTGAGAATAAGCATACAGAAGTTATTAAACTACTTTAAACAAACGGTTGTAATGTTAACAGAGACACTGACGAATCTTATAATACTTCACTTCATTTTGGTGTTATAAATGGTGCCAGAAATTGTTCAGATGCTTCTAGACAGACGTGCTAACATTAATACTGAAGATCAGTTTGGCAGAACTCCACTTCACAATGCGATTGAAAATAAGGAAATAGAAATTGCTGAATTACTTTTAAATTATGGAGCTACCGTTAATGCCAGTGACAGTTTAGGTACAACTTTATATTGCACCTGAGAAAATATATATATAAATTTTTGAACATTTTTTAAAACATGGAGTTTATGTTAATTTTACATATGTATCTACATTTACACCAGGTGTTACACCACTGTGTCTCGCTGTTCGACAAAGACATGTAGATTGTGTTAAGATGCTGTTGGACAGAGGTGCTAACGTTAATACTCAAACACAGTGGTCTGGCACAACTCCGCTTCATGATGCAATGGATAATAAGGAAATAGAAATTGCTGAACTACTATTAAATCATGGAGCTAACGTTAACGCTTGTGACAATAACGGTATAACTTCTCCTCTTTTTGCAGCTGAGAAAGGATAGTAACACTTGGATGAACATTTTTTACAACAATGAGTTTATGTTACTTCTACATATATCTCTTCCTTTACTCCAGGTGTTACACCACTATATTTTGCTATTCAAAGAGAACTTGTAGATGGTGTTAAGATGCTGTTGGACAGAGGTGCTAACGTTAATCATCAAAATCAGTGGTCTAGCACAACTCCGCTTCACTATGCAATGGAAAATAAGCAAATAGAAATTGCTGAATTACTATTAAATCATGGAGCTAACATTAATGCTAGTGATAAGTCAGGTATAACTTTTTTTTTTTATATTGCAACTGAGATAATATATTTACAGATTGATGAACATCTTTTAGAACATTAAGTTTAATTGGAGAGGTAATTCTACATATATCTCTTCTTTTTCAGGTGTTACACCACTGTGTCTCGCTGTTCAAATAAGACATGTAAGTGTTGTACAGATGCTTTTGGACAGAGGTGCTAACGTTAATACTGAAACTCGGGATGGCACAACTCCGCTTCATGATGCGTTTAAATATGAGGAAATAGAAATTGCTGAATTACTTTTAAATCATGGAGCTAACGTTAATGCCAGTGACAGTTTAGGTTCAACTTTATATTGCACCTGAAAAAATATATATATAAATTTTTGAACATTTTTTAAAACATGGAGTTTATGTTAATTTTACATATATATCTACATTTACACCAGGTGTTACACCACTGTGTCTCGCTGTTCGCCAAAGACATGTAGATGGTGTTAAGATGCTGTTGGACAGAAGTGCTAACGTTAATACTGAAACTCAGGATGGCACAACTCCGCTTCATAATGCGTTTAAATATGCGGAAATGGAAATTGCTGAATTACTATTAAATCATGGAGCTAACATTAATGCTAGTGATAAGTCAGGTATAACTTTATATTGCAACTGAGGCCCGGTTTCACAATTGACGGTTAACTTGAATTAACGGAAGCCCAATTTGCTGTACTCGGTGTAACGTATCTTTTCTTCTTAAACATGAACTGTGATTGGTTAGCGAAGATTTGACAAAGAAGATTGAACGCGTTAAACCGAGCTCAGCAAGTCGAACTTCGGTTAATTCGAGTTAACCGCGGATTGTGAAACCGGGTCTGAGAAATAATATTTACAGATTGATAAACATCTTTTAGAACATTAAGTTTAATTCTACATACATCTCTTCTTTTTCAGGTATTTCACTACTGTGTCTTGCCGTTCAAAAAGGACATGTAAATGTAGTTAAGATGTTTCTTGACAGAGGTGCTAACGTTAATGCCGAAATTCCGGGGTCTGGCAGAACTCCGCTTCACTATGCGATTGAATATGAGAAAATGGAAATTGCTGAATTACTTTTAAATCATGGAGCTAACGTTAATAATAACTCAGGTATAACTCTATATTGCACTAGAGAAATTATATATATAAATGTTGTGAACATTTTTTAAAACATGGAGTTTATGTTAATTTTCCATATATATCTACATTTACACCAGATGTTACACCACTACATCTTGCTGTTAAAAAAGGACATGAACAATTTGTTAAGATGCTTCTTGACAGAGGTGCTAACGTTAATGCTAAATCTTGGGATGGCACAACTATGCTTCACGACGCGATGAAAAATAAGGAAATAGAAATTACTGAATTACTTTTAAATCATGGAGCTAACGTTAACGCCCGTAACAATAACGGTATAACTCCTATTCTCTTTGCAACTGAGAAAGGATATTGACAGATTAATGAACATTTTTTACAACAAGGAGTTTATGTTAATTCTACATATATCTTTTCCTTTACTCCAGGTCTTACACCACTATATTTTGCTATTCAAAGAAACCATGTAGATGGTGTTAAGATGCTGTTGGACAGAGGTGCTAACGTTAATCATCAAAATCAGTGGTCTAGCACAACTCCGCTTCACGACGCGATGGAAAAAAAGGAAATAGAAATTGCTGAATTACTATTAAATCATGGAGCTAACATTAATGCTAGTGATAAGTCAGGTATAACTTTATATTGCAGCTGAGAAAATATATTTACAGATTGATGAACATCTTTTAGAACATTAAGTTTAATTGGAGAGTTAATTCTATATAAATCCCTTCTTTTTTAGGTGTTACACCACTGTGTGTCGCTATTCAAATAAGACATGTAAGTGGTGTACAGATGCTTTTGGACAGAGGTGCTAACGTTAATGCTGAAACTCGGGATCGCACAACTCTGCTTCACAATGCAATTGTAAATAAGGAAATAGAAATTGCTGAATTACTTTTAAATCATGGAGCTAACGTTAATGCCAGTGATAAGTCAGGTATAACTTTAAATTGCAGCTAAAAAGATATTTACAGATTGATGAAAACTTTTTACAACATGGAGTTTAATTGGAGAGTTAATTCTACACATATCTCTTCCTTTTCAGGTGTTACACCACTGTTTCTCGCTGTTCAAATAAGACATGTAAATGGTATTCAGATGCTTTTGGACAGAGGTGCTAACGTTAATACCAGTGATAAGTCAGGTATAACTTTAAATTGCAGCTGAGAAAAGATATTTACAGATTGATGAACATCTTTTAAAACATGGAGTTTTATGTTAATGCGACATTTATCTCTTTCTTTACACTAGGTGATACACCACTGTGGTTTGCTGTTTACCAAAAACATGTAGATACTGTTAAGATGCTGTTAGACAGAGGTGCTAACATTAATACTATATCATATAAAAATTATCGTCGCTTTTATAACCGCTACTATTGTAAAGAAATTGCTGAGATTCTTGAACAGCATATAGTTAAGATGGAAACTGCAAATTTATACGTAAGTGAACACTTATCAATGAGTCGCAATTACAAAATGAAGGATTTTCAGGATAAATGTGAAAAAGAAGTAGCAATCATGAAGAATGAAAAAATTAGTAATACTAACATATCATTTTACGATATCTTGATAAAAGATACAAATCTAGTAGCAATATACATGAGAAATGAAAATGTAGTGCAGGTTTTAAGATCAGACGAGTATAAAACAAAATTTCCAATATACTCTAGCATGATAAAAAATCAGTTCAGAAAAGGTATGGAAAAGAAAGAGTTGTTCGAACAAGGCACTAAAAGTTTCTATTTTTTCTGTAATTGTCCTGAGCTACCACGTGAGTGTATTGATCAAATATTTAGTTACCTAAGTGATACTGACATAAGAATTTTAATAGATACTTGGAAGTCTGTTAGTGTCAGTAATTTTAATACTGATATTAATGATGATAGAAATTACTTCAAATACATCTAAAGTGCTATGTGTGTAAGTTAAGGAAGAACGAACTACTTT